TTTACCTGTAGAAACAAAAAGAATCTTTCAATGAGAATATTTTACTTTTTTATTTCATTGCACTTATTTGTGTATATGTGTGTGTGGAAGCCTTGGCATGTGTGGTTGTTTGAATGAGAATCGTCCCCATGGGCTCATATATTTGAATGTCTGGTTCCCAGTTGATGCAACTGTTTTGGACAAAGATTAGGAGCTGTGGCCTCATTGGAGCCAGCGTGTCTGTCACTGGGGGTGGGCCTTAAGGTTTCAAAAGCTCACCCCAGGCCCAGTCTCTCTGCCTCCAATTTTCAGGTAAGATATAAGCTCTCAGCTACTAACCCTGTGCGATGCCTGCCTGATTACTACTGTCCTCTGCCATGATGGTCAAGACTCACCATCTACAACTGTAAACAAGCTCCCAATTCAATGCTTTCTTTTGTAAGTGGCTTTGGTCATGGTGTCTCTTCAGAGGAACAGAACAGTAATTAAGAGAGCTTGCATGTGGGGCTCAGAGAACAACTCGTAGGAGATGACTCTCGTTTACCACCATGTGAGTCCTAGGGATGGAACTGGGGTTACTGGGCTTGGCAGCAATCACCTCTATACAGAGCCATCTCATTGACCTTTGCTTTTTTTCTCTCTTTTCTTTGAGACAGGGTCATATTAAGTTACCAATCCAGCCTAGAAGTTACTACCCATCTCTGGATACCCTCAAGGAAGGTTAAGGTCCTCCTACTTAGCTGCCCAAGGGTTACGATACAGGAAGGGGTCGTGAGTGCTCCACCTTCCCTGATTTTTAGGTCACATTTCCCCCCATACTTGGTGAGTATCACTTTGCATAGAACACTTGTTGTCGCACCTACTTTCTCCTATGAGCCAGGCTCCCTTCTCTCCTCCCAACAACATTCAGTGTCAACAAGCAGCAACACAGGGGAGTCTTCCCCACGACCCACGTCAGTAGTCACACATCCATCAGTGCCCCACAGAAACAACACTGCTTTCCTTCTGCTGTTCAAATGTTATGCATCGTGTGTGTGGGGGGGGGGGAGGTTGCCAACATAGCAGAGCACACACGTGTCAAGATCTGTGGACAGTCTGCAGAAGATGGTTCTCTCCTTCCACTATGTGCGTTCTGGAGATGAAACTCAGGTCGTCAGGATAACAACAAGTGCTTTTAATCACAAGTAATCCCAATGGCCCCAAACAAACATTTTATGATATAGTGGGAAAACAAAGGAGACAAATTCCCAACAATTAGGAAAGGACTCTGTGTTAGGTCCCCAAGGCAGGCCTCCTGCCTCTGATGAGCTGGGCATCTCACCAGAGCTCTCATGGGAAATGCATTCTAGTTTTGGGAAAATGGGAGGGTTGGGGAGATGGCTGAGAGTTAAGAGTACATGTTGCCCTTGAAAAGGAGGGGTTCAGGTCCCCGCATCCAGATTTGACTTTTTTCATTTTTTTTGGTTTTTTCATTTTTTTTGTTTTTTTCGAGACAGGGTTTCTCTGTAGCTTTGGAGCCTGTCCTGGACTAACTCTTTAGCCCAGGCTGGCCTCGAACTCACAGATATCCGCCTGCCTCTGCCTCCCAAGTGCTGGGATTACAGGCGTGTGCCACCACCGCCCGGCCTCAGATGTGTCTTACAACCATCAATACCTCCAGTTCCAGGGGATCCAATACCTTCTTCTGACTTCCTTGGGCACCACACAAATGTAGTATACATATATACATGCAGGCAAAACACTCATACACATGACTATGTAGACCTGTTGGTATGGGACACTCTTTGGAGAACAGGCTATCCTTGAACTCACATAGATCCTCCTGCCTCTACCTCCAGAACACTGAGATCAAAGGTATCAGCCAAGGCACAAAGCTACACAGAGAAACCTTGTCACAAAAGACCAAAAGAAAAAAAAAAAGTAGGTATCAGCCAGCATGCCAAGCCTTTTAAATTTTGGGTGGTTTTCTATGTTTGCTTGTTTGTTTGTTTTACACTTTGAAAAAGTATATAATAGTTTATAAAGTCTGTAATAGTTTGAAAGCGAGCTCTGCTTTCCCTTGGTTTGGAATTGTGTCACTCCTGAGTGTGGGTGCACAGGTGAACTGCACATGCACAGGCCAGAGGACAACTTAAAGTCAGTGCTCTCCCTCACACAAGTGCTGGGAATCAAACGCAGTTTCTCAGGCCTCTACAGAAAGCACTTCCGCCATCGGATGTCTCAGCAGGGCTACAGGGAGACCTCGTCCCCAAAGAAAAACTGTTGCATGCTTTTCTTTTTATTTATGTGTACGATGTTTCCCGTGGATGGATGTACGTGTGAGGTGGTGCAAATCTTTAATCCTGACCTTCAGGAAAACAAATAAGGAATTGCTTGAGGCACAGTGGGGAAAGGAAGGACGGAAGAAAGGAGGGAAAAAGAGAGGGACTTACAGGCCCGGAGCCTGTCTGGTCACCTACGCAGACTTTATTCAATGCCCACATGAGGGAAGTACTATAAAAATGTACAATAATGTACAATGTGACTAACAGTGTTGTAGTTACATGTATCCAAGCACTTAGGACTTATCCACTTCTTTTCTTCAGCCCCTTCTATTCCTAGCTGTACTCACTTACTGACTCTGCTTTATCAAAACTTTGATTTGATCAACACCCTCACCCCACTTACTGTGAAATATCCTCTGGGTCTGTGCATGGCTCACCCCACTGCTATGTAAGGGCTCTATGTGAGGTGCTACAACCCCAGGACAATATGCTGAACGAGTGTCCGTGTCCAAGCCACATACCACATCAGATCAAACCACTCTGACTGCTTTCCCTGGACTTTTCAAATATTAGCTTCTAGGGGAAAGTTCTTCTGATATATTGACAATGCAAGAAGAAATCATGGATTTCTAGTCATGTCAAAAATACAGGATGGGAATGAAGGTACATGACAAAGGAAATAAGTAGAGAAGGACTGGAGAGGCCCAACACTAATAGAAGAGAGACCCTGGCACTGCCTTGGTTCCACTACAGGCTTCCTGCTGTCCCAGATGTGCGACAGCTGACCTCCGCATGAGTGTCAATTCCTGCAGTAAAAAGGGAAATTGTATATACAGTTTTCTATTAACATTCAGTAATGCGCTTGCCATACAAGCATGGAGAAGTGCATTTGAACCCCACAATACAAGTAAAGAAGCTGGACATGGAGGTACAGATGTAAGCCCAGAATTGCAGAGGCAGAGACATGACCAGCGTATGCAGTGACCTCTGCCCTCTACACACCCGTGGACACACACAAATTGTGTCCCTATGTAACAAGAAAGGAACCTTACCACTTAAAATAGTCCCAAAAACAAGAGAGGGAATACTATCGATTAGATTCACATAATGACCATCTAAATATGAATTAAAGAATCTGAAAATACCTCTGAGGTTATGATAAATATTTGGTGTTCTACGACAGTCCCAGGCCTCTCTCACCAAGCCCAGGTCATAAAACCTCCTTTCTTCTCGGGCCGTCAGCTGATCATAGGAAATTCTCTGACCCACCTTAGTCATAAGAAACACCTGGAGGTCTTGGGTCATATAGTAGGAAAGGAATGTTGTACAGAAAAGCCACCAACCTCAACTGACAAGCCTGGCTGGGTTTCCACACCAGTCTTTTAGAACCACGCTACACCACAGTTTCCATAAAACCAAACAGGGTATGGCGGAGTGTTTCCAGACGGCTGAACACCTTTGGTTCTGTTAGGCCCATCCTCAGAGAGAACATGAACATTTTCCCCTGTATCTCCCTTTGCATCTCTTCATTTATGTGTCTGAAGCTTCCTTCATACTAAACCATAGACAAGATCCTCTGAGTTCTCGTTCAACTCAAACAAATTATTCCAATCCAAGGAGTGGTCACATGCTCAGGTGGAGCATCCTGAGGTTTGTGACTGGTACCTGAAGCAGGAGCAGATATGGGAACCGAGTCCTTAAAACTAGTAGGTTGTGATGCCATTTCTAAGTAGACAGTTCTTGAGTTAAATTGAATCAGGAACCCCAGCTGGTTATCACCACTACAGAATGGTTTACTTGCTCATAGAGAAATCCTCACTTCATCCTGTTGTTTTAAAATTTTAACTATTATGGATTTCTATATGTCCGTATGTGTGTGATGCACACACACACAGGGTCAGAGGTCAATTAATGGGATTCAGCTGTCTCCTCTCCCTCGTGGATTCTGGGGATTGCACTCAGGTCATCAGCTTGGTGGCAGACTCCTTACCCTGCTGAATCTACCCTCTGAAGTCATAGAAATCCTCTGTGTTGATTCTGATGTACAAACAAAGAAAAACAAGAAACCTTCTTCACTGGCACGATTCCTTTTTTGTTTTTATTCTTTGTTACTTTGATTTTGGGGGGCTAGAAAAGGAATGCAGCTGCCTCCTAAATGCTAAGTTCATGGTCTCCCACTGAGCTCTATGACTTTGGCCTCTACAATCTCTTCCTTTTGTTTGAGACAAGTGTTACTATGTTTCCCCAGGCTAGCCTCATGTCTTCCAGCATCTTCCTGTCTCAACCTCCCAAACACCTGAAACAAGTCTGAGCTCACACGTGGAGCCACAAACCCATTGTTAAAGCTTCTACTTGTAACACTGTTTCCCCTACACCAAAAGACAGAGTAGAACTGAGTGGATGAGAACTGATAACTGCAAACAGAACCACTCACCCTCGTTCTCCACGTCATCATTTAAGAGGCCCCCCAGCCACACCTTCCAGTCCTCATCATCAGCTGTATTCGGGTCATACATATCCGGGGTGATATCTGGAGCCTGAAGTTCAGCTTCTAGTTGGCCCAGAGGAACATCTTTCAGGGGCATCTTAGACCGAGTTCGGAATGCAATGAGACTGTCCTCCATGGGCTGGCCAAAGTACAAAGAAACAGCATCCAGTAGGTGAAAATAATGCTTCCAAATTCACCAGCTCCACCCTCTACAACAGACCGTATTAAAAACCTAGTTCTTCCCTCCAGACAGTGCAGGTTTACTGTCTTCCCAGCTGGGGATGTGGCCACGCCCTTAATTACAGCACTTGGGGGGCAGACCCAGGAAGATCTCTGTGAGTTCAAAGACAGGCTGCTCTACACAGAGTTCCAGGACAGCCAGGCCTGTATAGTGAGACTCAGCCTCAATAAACAAAAACAAACAAAAAACCATCAACAACGTGGATTTCCATTCTTCTGAATTCCTTGTGAAAACTTGTAAAGGTACAGTTTTAATTCCTGGTAAGTTCTGGTTGTCTGACGTTTTGTTTTTTTATTAAATATTTGGAGTTCTCAACAGAATAGAGTGTCAACACAGTTCCTCACTGCCACAATTCTGCAGTCACAAGTTTCCCGACTTTGGGAAAACCTCAGAGTTCAGCACATGAGGTATGAAATGCAGAAGCTGTGCCCTGGGTTAACCACCTCTGGAATCATGGTTTCTCCTGTGCCGGGATGGATGGTGGTTTGTTTGTTTCAAGGTTTACTCTTTAGGGACTGGCTAGATGGCCAGCGGTTAAGAGCACTGGTTGTACTTCCAGAGGCCTGAGTTCAATTCCCAGCAACCATATGGTGGCTCACAACCATCTGTAGTAGGATCTGATGCCCTCTTCTCCTGGCATAAAGATATACTACAGATAGAGCACTTATACACATAAAATAAATAAAGATTTTAAAAAATAGCACTTCTTTTTTTATTTTATGAGTTGGTGTGTGTGTGTGTGTGTGTGTGTGTGTGTGTGTGTGTGTTATTACCTGCATATATGTGTGAGCATGACATGTGTGCATTGGCCACAGAAAGGGATTTGGCTACCCTAGAACTGAAATTACAGATGGGTGTGAACCATCATGTGGGTACTGGGAATCAAACCCAGGTCCTCTGCAAGAACAACAAGTGCTCTTAACCACTGAGCCAACTCTCCAGCCCCAACATTCACACTTTCAATGAGTATAATTCAGTGGACTTTAATACATTCACAAAAATATAATGTAACAAATTCTGCAATAACTATTATCCACAAAAGAAATCCCATACTCACAGTAGTCATTTCTTCTGGCCTCTTTCCAATCCATACTGACTATTAATCTATTTTCCATGTCTATGTGTTGTCTACTTACTGGACATTTTATATAAGGGCATCACACAATGTACATTCGGCCTGTTTCAGAGTGTTTTCACTGTACATAATGTGTTCAAAGTACACCAGTGCCTAGAAGTACTTTTTTTAGTGACCAATAGCAATGAACTATGGACATATCACATTTTGTCTACTCACTCACCAGATACCAGACAAGGAGTTATCTCTACGTATGCACCACTAAGAATTCTATTGCAGGCTGGCTCCACCAATCCACGAGGCTAGGAATGCTGCTGTGGGCTAGCTCCTAAGGACCCCAGCAGGTTTCTCCCCACCTCCCTGCTGCTTCCCCCCAACTTGATAAGTGCCCTGATCATGATTTTCTGTCTAAAAAATGTTCATGAAACAGTTCCCACACCAGAACACGGAACTTGGGGTAGGTGACCCAAGTCTATATCCCCAGGCCATGGTCACTCCTGTTTGGTTCCAGAAGACACTCTCAGCTTCTTTGTGGTGAGAGCTGTGTTCCCGCATCAACACTGAGCTCCAATTCCAGACCCTCAACTCTGGTACAAGCCTGCCTGGTAATTTGGACATGCTCACATTTGAGAACCACTACCACAGACACTTCTGTATATCATTACAGACTGGGATTAGCAGACAACTGTGGCTCTTCCTGTCTTTTGATTGTCATTTACTTATTTTAAGATAGGGTCTAGGAGCCCAGGCTGGCCTTGAACTCAAAAGGTCTTCCTGCTTCTGTCTCCCAAATGATCACAAACCTGTGACATCACCCCCAAGTAGTCCTTCCAATTCAGAAGCTCCATAATCCCATAGAAAATAAAAATATGATTTATCATCCAAAAAAAAAATTCTATTGCAGGCTGGAAGACCGCTCAGCCTTTGAAGGCTAAGCTCACAACCAAAGAGAGAGGAATTCTGTTGCTTGCCAGGTGGTGGTGGCTCATGGCTTTTATCCCAGCACTCAGGAGACAGGGTAG